TGTTTTTGGCTCCGAGTATTAATTACCATGAAGTCAGTTGAGCAGTAATGGCATATCGCGTCAGGCATAACGCTTTGAATTTAGACCAAAAAGTTGAATTTTTGTCTCGGTTGAACGCAAAAACATCTGTCACAGTATCATTTACATGCTTTTTCGCAAACTCCATAAAAGATTTCAGATGATTATTTTACAATGATTGCTTCTTTCTTACCACTTACTCATACAGGTAAGCTTTTGTAGGGACCGGGACATTGTCGATGTATGAACATTGACTCTCATCTCAGACATGGAACTTTGCAAATTTTCATTGTCACTGTTCACTTCGTGTTATTTCTAACCAGTTTCTTGCTTGACCGGCTGCTTAGTTTGGAAAGGTGGTCTGATCTTGGTAGCGATTGAGTGGTATGAAGCACATTCCACTTCTTGATGGACTTCACTATACGCAAAGTGATAATCAGTGATTTTGAAATTTTATTGCAACCTTCTCCAATCTGTGTTTCGCTACTACTTTATCTCTGACTATGCGAGTTGCGGCTTGAACAGATGCATTTTCTCTGAAGTAAAGTTAAACCACTTTGATAACATACAGACAGAGGCCATTCACTAATTTGTTTGACCTTTGAAACTAATATTTTGCACCTGAACTGATTTAAGATTGCCATAGCAAATGGGTTGAATACTTATGAAATTGAGAATATTCTACTTTTCTTTGAAAATTTAACTTGCATAATATCAGCATTTTTATAGCTTTCTCAATTTGAAATAGGTTTTTGTAGATTCTAAATATAAAGCCCCATTTGAAAGTTTCATAATTGCAAGCTCAGACAGAAACATAATGTGAAAATTGTGGGGGGAATACTTTTGCAAGACGCTGTAGGCTACTAATTATGACACCAGCTGAAAGAAGGTACTTGCTCTTCTATAGCTGTTTTCAAAACTTGATCACCATCATTAGTCAACCTATAATGATGTTGTCAAGACTAGTCACATTGTGCAAGCAGTTTAACTACCAAATTATTATATATTATATATATTTCATTTCTAGGATTACCTGATGGCAGACGGAGGGGGGAGAAAACCAAATGGTCAAAGTTGCCTGGCTTCAAAGAATTCAAGCACTAAATAAGGAAGTTGCAAAACAAATCACCTCCAAGTTAATTTTTTGAAATTACATTTTAATTCAATGTTGATAATAAAAAGATAAAACTTAACACTATTTGGGAATATATTGCATGCTATTATAAAATAGAGAAAAAAAAAGACAGGGCGAGTATTCCAGGAAAACAACCCCCCCCCCCCTGAAATGTGAATTTTTGACAGAGTTTTAGATTTCTGTACTTTGCATTATTAATTTTCCCTCAATCCTGACAAGCTTCCCAGACTCTGCTGATGAGAAATATCCCCATATGATGCTGCCACCATCATGCTTGACAGTTAGGATGGTGTTGACTGAGTGATGTGCTGTGTTGGGCTTTAGGACAATGATCCAAAGCATAAGACCAAAGCCACAGTGGAGTGGTTTCCAAAGAAAAGTAAATGTCCTGGAGTGGTCCAGTCAATGTCCTGACTTCAATCCAATAGAAAATGTATGGCGAGATTTGAAGATTGTAGTCCATCAATGATCCTCAACGAAATTGTCAGAACTGGAGCAATTTTGCCAAGAAGAATAGGCACACATTACACCATCTCATTGTGCAAAGCTGATAGAGACCTGTCTAAAAAGACTCCCAGCAGTAATTGCTGCCAAAGGTGCTTCCACCAAGTACTGAATGAGGGGGCTGAATACTTATGCAATCCGTAAATTTCAATTTTTATATTTTCTTTGCAGGTTTTGCTGACATTCAGAAATCTTCCCACAAGTGTTAAGTTTGATCATTAGTTTTAAATAAAAGTTCATTAAAATTGTTTATATTATTTGTATTTCATCAAGATGTGACATTATTGGTAAGGGGTGAATACTTTTGCAAGGCACTGTATGCAATCACCTAAGTATCATTATTTAATTTGTAGTGTTTTTAGGAAAACATAGTGTAAATTAACGAAACTAACCACCTCATTTTTATGTAAATGTAAAGAACATAATCTAATTCTCTAGGGACTTTGTTCAATTACCTATCAATACCCATCACTGTCTTGTAGAAGCAATGCTCCAAGATAAATACAAATGTTACCATGTAAATAACCATAGTTGCAGAATGAGTTACAATCTCTATCATAAGATAACTAATACTACCAAGATAAGTACAGTTGGTAAAAAATCATATTCCTTCACATACATCCTAATGAAATACGTAAAGAAACGAAATTCACTCATTGACTATCAAAACAAGACTTAACACTATAGTCAAATTTAAATGCACCATAAAAAACGTAAGTAAACAATTTACAAAACCTGAAGAAAGTGTAGTAAGGAGTAAACTTCATCCTAACACATAATGAAATACCCACGTTAAATGCAGCTACAACCACAAAAGGCACAATCTAAAGCCTACCAAAAGAAAGATCTGTTCAGAATAAAAATAGTCGGAAGTCCTGAAATCCCACTATGCTAACACCCAATCAGAAACAAACTGCCCTCGGAAATCTGAAGAACATAATTCTACCAGTAGACAATGGAAATGCCACTGAAATCAAAGACCAAAAGGAATACACTTTCAAACTCCAAACTCTAAAGATAAACATTACACGAAAATCAAATTTAACCTAATTACTAACAAGAAAAATTACCCAAATCCACAATAAACAAACATCTATAAATAAAAGCACCATTCCACATATCTATGGCTTACCTAAACTTCATATATAAGAAAACCCTTTTTAACCCAAAAATAACTGTATAGATTTACCGCGTCACTTCTTAGCTAAGTAAATAGTAAATATATCACAAATCGCAGGTAAAACATCTTCATATGCTAAGAATTCGGTCCCCTTTGTAGAGATTATAAAAGCAGCCAGGATAATCTCACAAGATACAATGATCAGCTTTGAATCCACTCTCTTCACAAATGTACCAACCATCTGACACTCTACAAATACCCTGCCAACAGCTTGAAAATAATAGAACTCTTAACAAATGAAGCCTACTTAAACTCCACTAATAGAACTCGCTACATCCTGTATCAATACAACATACTTCCATCTAGAACATTCAGGATCGAATGTTGGCAACTACCAATGCAGAAATCTTTCTTGGGAATCCTCTGAATATATCAGCAGATTAACAGCCTAAACGTAATATAAAAACAATTTGGTAATTAGTATCAAATTTAACGATAATTAGACTGGCTACTAACAATGACAAGTGCTGATACCTTATCGCTTAAACCTTACCACAATAACCTAATGGTATCTTTTAGTTTTCACTGTAGCACCTAAGACAAGTAATTGTGAATCCTGCCTCTTCTATTGAGGTTGAAAAATTATCACTACCATATGGATTTTTGTCCACCTTCTAAGAAAATGAAGGGACAGACAAAAGTGTGACAAATGGAGAGATAAGCTGTAATAACAACGAACTTGGGATATGGAACTATGTTATGGAACCTAAGCTCAAAAGCAAGTGATTATAATTGGAGAGTAGACACATCACAGAACTACCAGAGTTAGGCCCGGCATGGCCAGGTGGTTAGGGCGCTCGACTCGCAATCTGAGGGTCGCGAGTTCGAATCCCTGTCCTACCAAACATGCTCGCCCTTTCAACCGTTGGGGCGTTATAATGTGACAGTCAATCCCACTATTCATTGGTAAGAGTAGCCCAAGAGTTGGGGGTGGGTGGTGATGATTAGCTGCCTTCCCTCTAGTCTTACACTGCTATATTAGGGACGGCTAGCGCAGATAGCCCTCGTGTAGCTTTGCGCGAAATTCATAACAAACAAACAATGTGACCATTATGGGTATTTAAATACTAACTGTTAAAGATAAGGATCTGTTAGCTTCAGTAACTTTACGTCAGCCCCATTTTTTTGCGACAGTTCCAGATAAAGATTAAATCCGGTAAATGGTGTCCTTATTGTTGTGTGGTCCCATTTCTTTAAATATTATAAACTAACTTATTTATCAATCTCATTAATTTGCGTACTAGTTTCATTTGTTTGTATTATATACATGAAGCTTTTTATTTTTGGACTATTTGAAATGAGAAAAATCCCTATAAATATTTATATTAGCATAACTGTTTTGTTCAGTTCTTAAATGAACAAATTACCAGTTTTAACAGGAGCCTGCAGCGACTATACTTTTTATATGATCATGCAAATCCTGTGGTGCACTGTTATTTACGTTTTTTTTTATAAAGGCCATCAGCTTTCATTGATGCTACAAGGAAATAACTCCCATGCCTTCAGAGAATGATGCTTATTGGATGCAGGTTTGAGTGAGTGTTCCACACGTTTCGATCCACCTACGCATACCAAAACTCGCTGTCAGTAACTTAAAGAACTGGAAGCTCAATGAATGCGTCTTGGCCAGGCTAGAATCTCCAACTGAATTACACGTCCTGAAATACGAAATCCTACCTGAAACGCATTACACTTGGGACTATTTTCTCATGCGAAGTGTCGGATTAATCCAACAGATTTTTTGCCTTCTGTTAAAAGCAAGTGTAAATAACTGAGTCCAGTCTGACTAGCATACAGGTGGAACCTCTTCCAATTAAAACAGAGGTTCCAGTGTTTAAATAAGAACCTACCCTTTATTGTGGATGCTGGTTTCACACTTCGGATAATGCATAATATATAGTTTAAACTTCATTTGTTTACCACAGAAGATCCAACTACGATGATATTAACATGGAAAACGAATGGAACGCTTGCTATTAAGAAAACTAACTTTCAAGCGTCTTTCAAAAATGTTTATTTTCAGATACTGTGAATCTAATATACAAAAGTTTGCTTTAAAAGTAATCGTAAATTATTTGTTTGTAATGTTGAAACTTTTACATGTTGTTATTGTAATAAACTTTTTGTTAATTATTCTCGATTTCTGATTGCACAAGATCTTCAAGATCCATTTATTGGGAGGAAGGATGTCGCGTTTGAAGAATGGAGCCAAGAAAGACCTCCGCCCAGCATTTCGCTGCTAATGGGTCGGTCATTTTTTTATGTTATGCTTTGCAAACAAAATAGCTTGTTTCATCTCACAGCTACTTTAACTTTTGATTCCATATAATCCATTAGAAATATGTTTCCATTGTCTGCATGTCAGAATTCAAAATAACGAATTAATATTTGTTTTCGAGCAAGTGTGTATTCTGAAAAATTTAGTTAGACTACACTTTAGAAGCACCAGTTGTGCCTGTACAGACACAACCTACTAATTAATATTTGTTTTCGAGCAAGTGTGTATTCTGAAAAATTTAGTTAGACTACACTTTAGAAGCACCAGTTGTGCCTGTACAGACACAACCTACTAATTAATTTTTGTTTTCGAGCAAGTGTGTATTCTGAAAAATTTAGTTGGACTACACTTTAGAAGCACCAATTGTGCCTGTACAGACACAACCTACTAATTAATTTCGTGGAAATTTATAATTTAATCGTGTTAGGGCATTTGTTAGATTTTCATATTCTGTTAAATAAAAAGATCTTGCAAAGAACTTCACTAACGTCAAGACTACGTTACTTCTAAATTTCCATTAAAATTATAAATTTTCTTTTAAAATTAAATTAAAGAATTTGACAGACTTGGTTTATTTTAAACAAACTTTTGTTGGCTGTTTTAGTTATTTTTGTTACACGTACCAGTTATGCTTTGATGGATTAAATTGTATTTTTAATTTTTTAAAGGAAACTATTAAACTAGTTTTATTCAACATTCGTTGGATTTACTGAATTTCATAAGAAATGAATGTAACTTAGAATGTAAAATTTAGTTTTTGGTGCTTAATGTGGTAAGTCTGCTAGGAGTGTTTATAGTTCTGGAAGCTCAGAAATAACTGAAAACTAGTTACTTCACACTTTACCCGAATATTATTTATCAAATTTGCTTATGAAATTTTCTAACTATGCCTTTTATTTATATATATATAAAATAAGAAATAACAGTTTCACTTTTAACTATTTTTCCTATAGGTTTTAGCTGCAAAAGAACAGCAATGAATCATTTAAAGGGATCTCCATGTATTGTCGTTTTGCTCTTTTATTTCGCACGTCTCTGGGATGAGGTCGCTGCAATGTGCCCTGTTAAGTGCAACTGTGATGACGAGAATTTACGAGTGGGGTGTGACTCTGCAAATCTTGAAGTCGTTCCCATAACCCTAAACCCGGAACTTCGTGAACTGGTTTTGAAAAACAATAACATAAAAGGCATAATGAGTTCGTTTTCTGTGTATCACAATCTAGAATATTTGGACGTTTCGCACAATCAGTTAATAACAATAGGTAAAAATAACTTTCAGAAACAAAACCAGCTTAAATACCTATTATTGAGCAGGAATATGCTTTCGTCATTGCAGAACGAAACGTTTTCTGGTTTGGAAAAACTAACTGTGCTGCATATTAATGAAAATTTATTACAAGAAGTTCCACCAAATGTGTTTAGTGTTCTATCCAAGCTGGAAAATTTGGACATTTCACAAAATAGAATTTTCTTTATTTCAGACGCAGCATTTTTAGGTCTGGACAGATTAAGGGCACTTTCACTGAGAGACAATAAACTTACTGACATTCCAACTCATTCGTTCCATAACTTGCTTATGCTGTTAAAGCTTGATATTGGCCTCAATTCATTCAGAATTATACCTGAAGAAGCGTTCTCATATCTTACGCATTTAGAGGAGCTATCTCTTGATGGTTGTGGTATACAAACGATTGAAGTTGGAGCCTTTAGGTGGTTGAACTCTCTACGTGTTCTTCGACTCCAAGACAACGAACTCAATGAAGTCCCGACGAAAACGTTATTTGATGTTAGGCGTTTAGAAGAAATTAATATTGGCCAAAATAAATTTATTGAGTTAAAGCCATTTTGTTTTAAAAGACTGAAGTATCTTCGTGTCATTGAGATAAGTGGAAGTCAGGAATTTGTTAGAATCCAAAATGGCGCCTTTGAAGACAACAGGAACGTGCAAAAACTATTGTTAAATCATAATAAAATATTCAATCAAATTGAGCGTCAGACGTTTAATGGTTTGCCCAAACTGAGATTGTTAAGTTTACGGGGTAATGCATTCACCACACTTCATTATGATTTGCTTCCTTGGGATGAGTTAGACGTTTTAGACGTTAGGGACAATCCTCTTGTTTGTAATTGTGAGTTGGTGTGGTTATGGAGGCTGCTGAAGAAACATAACTTTTCATCAGTAGGTTCAAATGACTTGACCGAAGTCCGATGTAGTAGTCCTCCAGTCCTGGAAAATTCGTTTCTTAAAGAGACTTCTAAAGAAGATCTTGGGTGTTATTTAGAAAACAGGCGACGAAAAATCATCATAGGTGTTATGGTAGCTACCGTCGTAGTGATCTGCGTACTTTCGTTGTTTGGATTTCGGTATAGAAAAAATATTTCCCGCGCATTTAAGAATAGATGGCTATCTGGAACAAAAGAGCCCCATTATAAAAAAACTGCATGTGTTGAAGAAGAAAATAACATTTTTCATGCAGCAGCAAATCAATCTCTGAAGATGACGCCGGTAACTGAACTATGAGTGATAATTTATGAACATGTTATCAATCATGAATTACATCAGGTAATTGATTACGTTGGTACATATGATAAAATAAAGGAAGAAAAACCTATAGTAAGTTTTACAGCAACAGAAATTCTGGTTAGTATCTTTGAGTACTGATATGCCCGTAATTGTATATTTGTTTAAAAATATACTATAAGGCCTATCCAAGTATTATTTCATTTAACAATGATTTTTTTCGTTTAAAAAACTTAGTCCAACAGATGTTGTGACATAAGGAGAACACATCATAGTAAATGAATTAGTTAACTACAGGTTGACAAAATAATTATTGAAAGTCAAAAAAAATAAAAACCACTGAAAGCATCAACAGATTAATGACGTCTTGAGAGGTTTACTAAACGAACAAAGTGAATTAGTTTGTTTTAATTACAAGACATTTAAGATAATATTCACGTGTTAGAAAACAGCTCCTATAATGGCCAGCAATTATAATTGTTGGAACTGAATCACGAACTCATAGTGATCTTCACTGGGCACAAACACTTTTTCTTTGATTAACCGTATAACTTCTTGCATTTAAAGGGTTAGCCAATTTGGCTGTGTACTCCATCTAAAAGCCCAAGGTTTAGCACATTTTGTCACCGGCCAATGAATACTGTTAATACCACCTTGAATTTCATGAAAATTTATATAAGCATTAATTTTATTAACTAGAACATTTATTTTGAAAATTCAACACAAAGGTATTTGTAACTTTACCTGGACAATCTGTAGGTGCTAGATACCATTCAGAAGAAAATATAGGTACTAAGTTTACATCACATTGTGGCACCCACTCTGTATCCAATGTCAATAGATTATTGTAGTTTTTTTATTATATCATTGAGGAGCTACGGTATACGTTTTTACTTAATGTAGTAGTATCTAAATACATGCTTTTTCAGTGGCATCAATACGAATATGTCGGAAGCAAATCGCGATATTTATAAGTATGTACTGTTATAGTTCAATATATAACATGATGTAAGTAAGCAATAGTCTCTTGTCTACAGATCTGTGATTAGAAAACATGATAAACGAAGTGTATAATCATTGATTCATCTGCTCTGCTGGATTTTCTATTAAATGGAAGTTTGGTTTGTATTTTATTTGCATTACGTAAATATGTACAAATACCATAAAGTGTTTGAGACCGAAATTAAAATAGAAATGGGTGTAATTTCATTTCTCAGGGATGTCTGTTTGTATCGTATCAAACTATAATGATGCAGAATTGGAAATGAATCACTAGTTTTGAGAAAAGCCTTTTTTATAGTATCTTTAAAATATTTATTATTGAAAAGGTTATCCATAGAATTTATAACCCAAGTATTACGTTTCGTTTAGGCAAGTGTTTTTCATAGTTTTACTTACGATAATGTAATTTTGATGGAACTGTCTGGAATAATCCAGGTAAACACTAATCTCACTATTTTAAAGATTTATAAAACATGAAAGCATTACTTCACTTGATAATATTCCCATAGAAAGATTGGTATAGGGCTGTTATATTTCACAAGGTTATGCTAAACAGAACAGTTAACGTTTATTGTTAATTCATATTCTCTGTTACACTTAACGACAAAATGAATGTTTTTCGCTAAATTGACGAATCTATTTTACAGTATAAACCAAATGAAGAATGTATATCTCGCAAGAATTTCAACCTAGCGTTAACTTATTTACACTAATATGTAACCCTATAACAGAAAGAAATGTTAGAGCATGTACAGATAAAACAAGTTTGATGAAACGTCAACTCGTATATGTTATTGAAGACAACTTCTATCTTTTAAAGTAATGTCATTAAAAATAACCAAGATAATATTATGATCTTCAGTGAGAAATCTTTTTTTACTTAGATATTGTTTTTTACGTATCTTTATGAAGAAGAGCTAAAAATTCATTATGCCGTGCGTTAGTGTAACAAAATGAAATCTGAAAAGTAGTCACGTGAGACACGCAAAATGTCATCGGAAAACATCACCAGTTTCTTTGTTTGGCTTGTGCAACGCAACACCTGACAGCTGGTACTTTATGGGTGATACAAAACGTGTAATCTTTAGTAGCTTGAGTAAGGTATTCTATGTTACTAGTGTATAACAAGACAAGGGAGCATTTAATTTGTACAAAGTATAAAATAGTATTTTCTCAGTGAAAGGGGGGGGGGTGGTGTTACATTTTAAAAATTTAATATTTTACTTGTGTTAATTTGCCAATTTTAGGTTTTAGTGAGGTTTGATCAGCTTACACATGGGAAATTGTGCACTAAACAACAATGAATCGCAGATTAATCACAATAAGTTGAACATTAATAAAATAAAAAAACACATCATTTACCAGAAAGGAAAAGATCATAAAAAAGATCATAGTTATATTACAAAAAAATCTTATGTCAGATCAATCGTATCAAATTCTTTACTTAAAATGAATACGAAAGCTACAACAAACCAATACTTATCATACTAAAATAATTTAGA